TCTACGCTAGTGTGCATGTAACCTAACACTTCACTCTCTGTTTCTCTCAAGCAGCGTATTCGCGAACAGGGCAATAACCTGATCAAGCAGGTGAAGGGTAAAAACCTCAAGGAGTGGGTCAAGATGGTCGAGGGCTTCCTGCAGAAGCTTTGGCTCCTTGCTAACAGAGAGCGTTTCTGAGCAAACCAGGCAGCAGCAGTTAAGGCAGACCCAATGAGCAGCAGCTCAAGCAGGCCCAGGGAGCAGCAGCTCAGGCAGCTGCAGGGAGCAGCAGCACAGACAGGCCCGTGGAGGAGTAGACCAGGCAGACCCAGGCAGCAGCAGCTCATGTAGACACGGGGGGCAGCAGCTCATGTAGACACGGGGGGCAGCAGCTCATGTAGACACGGGGGGCAACAGCTCAGACGTGTAACTCTCGAGCCGGAGCTCGTCACCAACACCGTCGACATCGCCGAGGACATCGCCATCTCCAACACCATGTCTGGCGTGGGTACTGTCTTACCGGCAGACTTTAGCCCTGCAACAGGAACATCGCATTCCCATCCACTGTGGCGGCGTGAGACCGGGTGGAGGTCCGACTTTATAGCAGGAGACGGCAGACCGAATGAATTCGTGCTCTGACGGGCTCTGCCGGTCCATGACAGCGTGATTTGTTATATTTAAGGAGCGTCCTGCTATATCGGCACGTTTGGCCAAATCCTTTTGTAAGGAGCACATACTATATGTTTGTTTCCGTGTATAGTGTACCATTCATAATATAGGTTTTTGGGTCAGATCGCGTTATTTATAAATGTCTCGTAACCCTCCACCACCCGACACGACCAAACAGTAAAAAATGTGTCACGTCTTAAATAGAGCAGCAGCAGGGTGACGTCATCGGAAGCAACAGGAGAGCTTCACCATTCTTGCCCGATGAAGCTGATTGTAATTATCAGCGAAACGTCATACTCAAATGTTAAAATGCTGCTGATTCTCTCTTCAACACACTGGTGGGCTAAATAAGTGAATAATTTTGTCCTTTGAAAAAACATGACACATTTTTTACTGTTTGGCCGTGTCGGGTGGTGGAGGGTTACGACAGATTTATAAATAACTCGATCTGACCCAAAAACCTATATTATACTGGTAGGAACGAAGTGGACCAGCCTACAATAGATTATATCGTCCGTCCGTCCGTGTAGCAACATCGCCCCCTACTGCAAACACTTGGCATGACCCTACAAAACCCTTTAGACTCAGTGACGCTTTCCTGGCTAAAGAAGTGTAACATTCCCTTATAATTCCCTCAGATAGCTTTTAATTAAAACATTTAAATTAATGAGGCTTTCCTGGCTAAACAAGTGTAACATTCCCTTATAATTCCCTGAGATAGCTTTTAATTAAAACTTTTAAATTAAAATTTAACTCACAGCGCCCTAAAGCCTACAGCTAGGCCTAAAGCCTCGACCTACGCCTCAAACTCTCCCTTCGTATCGTACCCCCGCGTGTGTGCAAAGGAGTTAATGTTTAACAATGTTACATTCCCTGATGCTTTTAAATAGAAACATTTAAATGTAAAGCTTTTACATAAATAATAAAAACATTTACATTTAAAATTAACTCACGGCGGCCTAAAGCCTACAGCTAGGCCTAAAGCCTAGAACTAGGCCTCAAACTCTCCCTTCGTATCGTACCCCCGCGTGTGTGAAAGGGAGTTAATGTTTAACAATGTTACATTCCCTGATGTTTTTAAATAGAAACATTTACATTTAAAGCTTTAACATAAATAATAAAAACATTTACATTTAAAATTAACTCACAGCGGCCTAACGCCTACAGCTAGGCCTAAAGCCTAGAACTAGGCCTTGTTGGTGTTGGTGGTGGTGTTGTTGGTGGTGTTGTTGGTGTTGGTGGTGGTGTTGTTGGTGGTGTTGTTGGTGTTGGTGGTGGTGTTGTTGGTGGTGTTGTTGGTGGTGTTGTTGTTGGTGGTGTTGGTGGTGTTGGTGGTGGTGTTGTTGTTGGTGGTGTTGTTGGTGGTGCTGGTGTTGTTGGTGGTGGTGGTGTTGTTGGTGGTGTTGTTGTTGGTGGTGTTGTTGTTGGTGGCGGTGGTGATACCGTGTTGGTGGTGGTGTTGTTGGTGTTGTTGGTGGTGGTGTTGTTGGTGGTGGTGACACTGGTGGTGGTGTTGTTGGTGTTGGTGTTGTTGGTGGTGTTGTTGGTGTTGTTGTTGTTGGTGTTGTTGGTGGTGGTGTTGTTGGTGGTGTTGTTGGTGGTGGTGTTGTTGTTGTTGGTGACACTGGTGGTGGTGTTGTTGGTGTTGTTGGTGGTGGTGTTGTTGGTGTTGTTGTTGTTGGTGTTGTTGGTGGTGGTGTTGTTGGTGGTGTTGTTGGTGGTGTTGTTGGTGGTGTTGTTGTTGTTGGTAGTGGTGTTGGTGGTGTTGGTGGTATTGTTGGTGGTGGTGTTGTTGTTGGTGGTGTAGTTGTTGGTGGTGTTGTTGTTGGTGGTGTGGTTGTTGGTGGTG